GGATTGGGTGATTACTAAGGGTAGTTCCATGTCGTAGTGTCGCAAATCAGTATTAGAGAAGCATTCACAATGACATGCCTTCGACTACTTTTGTGGGTCGGGTGGGGATTGAACCCAGGTTTTCACACACCTGCTACGCAATCCTTAAACTACAAATTATTTCCATTCTTCCTATTGTCCTCTCTACTCTGCTTATGCATGGAAAATCCTTACTTTCAGAAGTTCCAAGACATGTCTTCACCATATTCACATCTGTCTTGTGGAGCATGAGGCTTTAGGTTGTATGCTTTCTGAATATAATCATACATTTAAAAGGGAGTTTCAAAAATATATTTAAATTCATTATTGTGCAATAGTTACAAAGCACACTCAAGTGCTTGGTGATAAGTTGGCACTTTCCCAAACCTGGAACAGGAGGACTCACACCTGTAGGACACGGACATTGGATTGGCAGCCATTCTCCTCTGACCTGATGTCATTAGCTTCCTTTCCTCCTGCCTCTGGACCCACTCACTGCCTCCCTGCCCCACCACTAAGGAGGAACAGTGTAGCATGAAGGGAGAAAAGTAGAGAACTTAAAATAACATTAAGATGCCTAAAAATAGAAAGTTTTGAAATGTATTTTCTACCAAACACAAATTTCTAATTCTGCATGTTTCATTGGATATGCTTATTACAAATTCTCATGTCTTGGTACAGTTGTTAGAGATCAGTTGCCCCATAGCCATTTTCTTTTTAAATTGAAAGTCAATGCATCTTTGACCACACACACTCTAGGTTTTGCTTTAGTGCACAGTCTCCCTCAAGCCGACTTCACTTCTCATGATGAATACTTCAGCTATGTGGTCCTTAGTCTTGATGCAAACCCTTCTAGTAKAATTTATCTTGCTTCCTTGTGGGTCTTGGTTATCTTCTCTAGGCTGCACATTCTCTGAAGGCAGGGACTATGCTACCAGCACTTCTACAACATCTAGCACAGGGTTGCCCAGTACCTACACTACAGTATGTGTAGTATATGTGCTTCATACTTGCTGAATATTTGCTTCTTCCATCTCTAATTTCCAGAAACCCACATTGGAAATAAAAAACAAGGTTAGGACTAGGCCTTCCACGTATTATACAGTCTCTGACATTTGTTAATTGTTTTTGTTGTGTTCAATGCCAAATGTCACTGTCTTCCTTGAAAGCATTAGAAAATGAGGTTTGGTGTCAGCTATGGAAAGACCTCGTATTAGTTTCTGCATGGAGATGTTCAACCTTTGTTCAAATGTACCAGACAGCACATTCTTTGCTTTGTATCCTCCCCTTTAAAGACTCAAAACAAAACAAACAAACAAACAAACAAACAAAACCCCTTAGACTTATTATCTGTTTCCTGGTCCTCTCATGACATAGAGGAGCCACCTGAGTTCTGGAGAAGGTAAATGACTTATGTCAGATCACACAGAGAAGATAGACGAACAGGGACGTCAATCCAGATCTAGTGACTTAACTTTTCTTTCCCTCTGCTGAAGCCTGTAGAGAATTTTTGGCCCAGGGTTCTTTCCAAAGTATTTCACAGGTAATGCTAATTGGTTGTTCTCCGGGGACAACCTAGTTGGCTGAGCATCATTAGCTAGGTCCTGGTGCAGAAGGCTGAGTTTAGCCAGTGTCTTAATTAATATATATCATACTAGTTGCACTTTAGTTTTRCACATTAATTTTTTWAAAATTTTATTGTGTGGTTAGCCCAAGAGGAAAACCTCGTTCTCCTCCTTCTGTTAGGGATATAATAAAGAGCAAAGAACACTTTCCAAGTTAAAGGAAACCATGGAAATATGTCCCCAAAGAGATTTTATAGGACCTGATTCATGACCCACAAGTGCCTCTTTTAATCCTGACTCATAGTTAATGGATATTAATGTTTCAATTTTTAAAAATCAGAAACACTTTTGTATTTTTATTTAAAATGTTTTACTTTTAATGCTCACTTCTTTAATTTTTTTTAACTACATTTTTTTTTTAAAGCAGCTATTGCCTRTGGAGAAATTTAGTATGGGCCAGGGAGTGCAGAGAATAGTATTATATTTCAGTATTGATGCTCTTTGAATGTGACAGGATCCCTTAGTTAATCTTTTTTTTTCATTTAATTTATGAGGAAAAAAAGAAAGTGATCACTCTAAAAATCTAAGCTTATCAGTTTCTGACCATACCCTGAAGGTTTCCATAAAGTCCAGGATCAATTGGGGCAGCCACTTCATGATTTGTGCACTATATTTGAGTTTTACAAGGAGGCAAGAGAAGCTGTCGTTTGATTTTATTAAAGCAGTATCTTTATTCACTTAGCGGCTAACCTAACAATGTGATTTTCATCAATTTAGGATGAACAGTACTTATCTGCAGTGGTTCTCAGTGATGTATGTTACTTGGAGTTAGTTCATGAGGGGATAGAGAATGGGACTTGGACTTTCTAGGATATACAAATCCTAAACCTCAGGTTACTATTGCCTTGGCCACAATTTATTGGAACCGACTACCAATTCCACCAAGGCAATGGTTATATCTGTTTTGTTCTCTCATGTTAAGCTTATACCTAGAATAGCGTATGACCAAGTGTACATTTCAATAGAATCATACTGATGGACATTCTCATCTGAAATATGTTTTCCTTTCCCCTGTACCTGGACAAAATTTAACCAATTTTGAGGCTCAGTTTTAATCCTTCTTTTGTGCAGGATTCCACATGTGGTACAGATATTTGYTCCTAATGAATTCATCTTTTTCTGAACTCAACTAGTAATACCTCAAGTCATATTTTAGGCACTTCTTGTAAGTTTGGTTGATTTACTATTCAATTCTTGTATTTATATTAAACTTTACAGGCTATTTGTTTTATTTCAACATCACATAGCACTTTCCCCCTAGCACACAATTTCTTGGCAAATGGAAAAATCAATAAAATGTTTGGTGGTGATGTTTTTCATCCATCTGTAAAGTCACTCTTCAAATATTCACCCAGTGATTGTATTCTAAGTAAGTATCAGCTCAGTTTCTTTTTAAATTGCTCAGATTTATTTAAGAAACTCTGTAAAAAATAACCAAAGCATGGTGTTTCACCATGAAGCATCTCTGGTTAAACCTTCTGAGTTAAAATGCAGTGGTTTCAGAATTTTCCTGACTAGCATCTTTCTTACCTAATGAAGATGCAAAGTAGAATGGAGCCCTCGTTTGTGCACAAGTAGGCAATGAGGTAATTCTCCAGTTAGCAGCAACAACAGTAAGAGAAAAACAAAGTGAATCACCCTTGCCAAGTACAAGAGATTACAGATTCCCATGAAGACAAAGGGAGTACTAAATATAGATGTATCCCATTGAGCTGCTGCATTAGAAAGGAGAGAAAACAATTTTTGCATGAGCAAGAGGGAATTAAGCATGGGTACAAGGTTGCCAAGCCAAGATACTTGTATACAGCCTTGTTTTCCGTGATCAGTCTTCCTGACAGAATCCTGTCTTCTTTCTCATATATTTTCAAGCTACTGTAGGCTATTTTGGGAAAATACTTTCACAAAATATCTAAACCTTATGTTTGCTGACAGGCTACAAAGTCTACGTTCTAAGAGATTCTTATCTCACACCAGAATTTTTAATCTAACTGRCACCTCTGCTTCTCATGAATCCTGAAGAACAGATGGAATTGTGAACCCAATTTTGACTGAGATTTAATTCAGCCTTACGAATCATTTTCAGAGTTTCCTATCAACATTCCACCGGTTTCTGATGTTTTTGTTTGAGGAGATGGCTTCCCTCAGGGAAAACTGAAAGAGAAAAATCACAAAAGTGAGAATCTGCTTTGGATAAAGAGGCTCCACCAAATGAATTCAGTCACTTATTAAAAATGATAATGAACACTAAGAATGTCGTGATACAATAAAACACTACACAGAAAATGGTRATGTTTTCACTGGCATTAGTAGGTTTCCTGAGAATGCAAAGCTAAATGCATGTTGACCATCTTGCTCTAAAGAGCATCCTGCCAGCGGTTTTCTGCTTATGTYAAGGGATAGTGGTTCCTTCGTTCTTAGCCAAGAAATGTTGGTTAGTCAGATCTCAGCAGTCAAATCCAGTAGGGTTTCTCCATTGTATGAAAACACAACTGACATGTACTCTGTAGCACTCAAGGTATCAGGATCTGAATTATGATTTTTTACTATCAATCGACACTGAGAAATTACCGGACAAAAAGTTTTTATGGAGGGCTGGGGTTGTGGCTCAGTAGTAGAGCACTTACCTAGCATGTGTGAGGCACTGGGTTCAATTCTTAGCACTGCATACAAATAAATAAAATAAAGGTCCATTGACAACTAAGCAATATTTTWAAAAAAAGCTTTTATGGAAATATTTTCTTCCTAAATGTTGAAACCCTACTATAATTTTTCCCAGGTCTTATGACTGACCTGACCATTCATTTGTAGTTCCTTTTAAAAATAACAATCATTTGATTTATTTAGATCTCTGTATAGCTACTTGGGGAAGTTGACAAGTGAATCTTATTAGACTAATATCTAATATTGTTCTTTCATATATGCACATAAATCCACTTTCATAAATCTTGGAGACTTGAAAAAATTTTATGGTAAAATTATATATTTTTAACCTGGAAGCAACCCTAGAGAACATTCAGTACCATCATTCCATTTTATAATTAACAGTTTATACTGTCATCCCTTGATATTCCTAGGAGATTGTTCTGGAACCCCTTCCTCCCATGGATATCAAGGTGCTCCACTCTTTATATGAAATAGAACCCTCGTTTGTTCACAAGTAGGAAATGAGGTAATTCTCCAGTTAGCAACAACACAAAGGTAAGGAAAAAACAAAGTGAATCATCCTTATAACCGATATACAGCCTCCCACACACTTTATATCATGTTTAGATTACAATATCTAATAAATCATTTTTAGATAAATCATAATATCTAGTGCAATGTAAGAACCATGTAAAGAGTTGTTAGATATGGAGTGCTTGCTTTGGCAACGCATATACTATTGGAACAATACAGAGAAGATTAGTATGGCCCTTGAACAAGGATGACATGCACATTCGAGAAGGGTTCCATATTTTAAAAGATTTTTAAAAATATAAATAGTTGTTATACTGAATTATTTGGAGAATAATAAGAAGGAAATGCCTATGCATGTTCAATATAGATGATTTTTTTCTGAATATTTTCTATCCATGGTTAAATCCAGGGATACAGAAGTTATAGATATGGGAGGCTGACTATTTATGTAACAATTTCAGGTCATATTTTTATTTACAGTATTTCATTTGAGGTAGATGGAGAAGATGTAATTCTCATTTTGTCCCAAGAAAGCATATTTAGCCTTCATGGCCTTAAAAACACTTGGAAGACCACAGATTAGTGTCAGATCTAACTTTAGAACCAGGGTCTCTTGCCCTGTAGGCCAGTTCTCTTCCTACAGATACATTGCCCTCTTGTACCCAGTAAAATACATCTCTGGCCTTTAGCTCAAAGACCAGATTACAGCCAATCCATCTACTTATCCTCGGGCTCTGTGTCAGAGTTTCCAACTTGTGAAAGCTTACTATCCCACGCTGAAGAAAAATATCATAAATTCCAAACTAAAGTATAGGCTTTTCTATAAGTCCTTTCTTGATCCCTAGAAAAAGATCAACACTTATTTCTGTCATACATTTCAGTCAAGAAGAAAACCCATCTCCTCTGAACCACCTTTGAAGCCTCCCTTTTAGTAGAGTATATGGATTTCTTCATTAATTCATTAAATATTTGTGACCTGAATAATACATATTAGCTCTCTGTCTTATTCAAATCATTCTATTTAGACTATTTGCTAACATACTCCTCCAATAGATATACTTAGATATTTTGGTAAATATATTACTCAATTTCTCAAAGAGTATAAAATAAATACATGTAGAATAACAATGAAGTCAACATCTCTTAAACGTTTTGATGACAGAAACCATATTTTCCGTTTGTTTTTCTCCATCTTTCATAGTATTAGAAAAGTATCTTGCACATAGTAGGTGCYCTCAACAAACATCAATTAATGTGGAATACATCAACCCTTCCTAAGGAGATATTAGRCATCAAATCTGATTCTGAGTGTAACTGCCATTTCAGAAGTTCTCTACCAGGAATAATTTTGCCTCCCAGGAGATGATGGCAATAGTGGCAGCTATTTTTGGCTCCTAAACTTAGGGGTGGGGTTGAAGGAGTGGGGATTTCTATTTCATCTATTGTTCAGAGGCCAGGGATCCTGTAAATATCTGTCCAGACAYAGGATACAGCAGAGTATTATCTGGCCCAGAATGTGTCCAGATTGAGAAACCYTGGCTAATGCAAGTCTCTCCCTAAAATCCTCATAACTGTATTTTACCTTACATGATATTTCAAGGACATTTTCAAGGTTAGATTTGCACTGGTAGTTTACTTCATGGTTAATCKGAAAGTGAACATAGCCACCAAAGTCAGGTATACCTGTGCACTATTAGATCACCATTGCCTTTTAATGATAATTTTGGGAGTGTATCTGTGATGAATAAAGGGGTGCAATGAAGGTTTGAGAAAATTTCACAAGAAGATGAATTATTTAAATATCATTGCTAGAATTTGTACTGTTTACTCACATRATTATACTCTGGAAGCCTGAATGAGACAGATAAGACATTGATTGGCTGGCTAAATATTACTCTGTGGAACCATTATTATTTTTTATTTATTAATCTTTTCAGTGCTGGGGATCAAACCCAGAGCCTTGTATGTACTTGGTTAGTCCACCACTGAACTACATTCCTGGCCCCATATTCTTTTACCATTTATAGACCACCCAAATTATTTGGATTGAGAATATACACAGCTGAATAAATTGAAGGAATTAACATTGGGGTGTAAGTAGGAAATGGTAATTTTAATGTGAAATTAATGTAATTGGGACCCACTTTTGTATTCTGAGTATGCTCACAACAGGAAGTGTAGAATGCAGAAGTACTTTAGCATGAGCCTGTTTGACTGAGGGACTTCGGAAGARGAGAGAATAAGATACACATGGTTGGTCTGTAGATAAGGTGAGTATGTAATTTGTCACCTAAACACAGCAGCTTTGAATATGGGACATTAATAGTTAATCCAGGACAACAGGCATAAGCAAAAGACTGGGATAAGTCAGGATACATAATCACACTAATCATGAATAATGCCCAGACTTGGAGAAAAAAAAAAAAAAAAAGGAGGAATATACAATATCATCAAGGTAATGCACTGAAAATGTTTTCTAAAAAAAAAGTCTTTAGTGTAGAGACTTACCCAACATAAGCAGATAGAATAGTTTGTGTGTTAGAGGCTTTTGCAATAAAACTAATTTATCTGAGAGAACAGACAGCTTTGAAACAACCTTATTGGTGCCTTGGCATAAATAGTGGATTTTAAACAATAAATGTTACCACAAGAATCTGGTGCAAGGGTAAGTGGGGTGTATTGTGTGCATGGTATTTGAGGGAACCATTCAGAACAAGGTGAAGGGCTCCCTGGAGACTTGGGAAGAGCCACTAGGATAAGAGTAAATGAAAGTTAAAGGAAGTCAGGCCTAGTTAAAGCTCTGTGAGCAGTACTARAGCAAATGTGTTTACTAATTACTCCTTAATTCTTCTCCTGATGGATAACTTGCAGGGAAACCCTGGTTAAACTGGGAAGATGATAAGASCAAGAAAATGTGAATTTTGTGTCCCCCAGATGAGCTGACCAGTCTGGGACTTTTGGAGAATTTCTATTTGGAAATGTAAAGGTCATTTTAGGGCAGATGCAGAGGCTAAGGCAGGTGGCCACAGGGTTCTGTGGCCCAGAAGGCATGGAGGCCATTTCAGAAGATAGGCATAACAGAGCAAGTTTCAGATGCCAGGGAGTGGATCAGTTTTAGCATGWAACATAAGCATGAATTAATCTGAAAGGGCAAATGTATTCCTAAACTAGTTTTCCCAGCACTGAATATTTGGAACCTTCCAACATGAAGGGTTGCTGTAGTAATGGCTGAGATGCGTTATATACCCGATTCAGCTGCTTCTTGGAAGCACCCTGTTGTTTTGTGATCTGTGCCTTTAATCATTGCATTGGGGCCCTCTTCACCTCCCTGTTTCTCTGGGTTTTGGTGACTTTTAATACTTTCCCAAGGTAGGCCTTTTCACTGGGGACTGTCCTGATATCCAGGAAGTATCGGCTGTCTGTCTGAGCTCCTACTTTACCTTACGTAGAGGTTCTACATGTTGGTACACTTGACTTTTAAGCTCACATTTTCCTACATCAGTTGCAGATGAGCTTGCCACCAGGTAGTGGCTTTTCTGTTTCTGAAATGGTACTATTTTTAGCGTATGGAGAAAGCTTTGAGCAAGATTTGATTATTTCATTTGCACTGGTTACTTTATGAAAAATGAAAAGGGAAAGATGAAGATGAACAAGAAACATAGTTTGTATAAAATKTATTTGTTTGAGTGTAGGTTAAAATTTATAAAGTGTGCTAGCAGATAGTGGCAGAGCTGAAGCCACACTAGCTTGCTCATCAACCTGATATACTGTAAATAAGAACACAATTTTTTAAAAAACATGTAGAATCCTGTATGAATTTAAGATTATGTTGTTGGTGTATTTTATTTGAAAACACCTCCTTAACCCTTTCATTAAGTGATACTGGTTTATTAATAGGGTGCTTTAAGTGAAATAAATTTGAGAAAATGCTGAATTAAATCAAGAATGTCAGATTTTCATTTCAGAACTTGAATATGTTAATACACATGGTTGATTCTTCAAGGGGGAATGGGTATTAAATATTTCCCAAATATAGTTGACCATAACTTACTCTCTTTGGTGGATCATATGCTGAGGTTGCAATTCAATGAAACAATTTTGAGAGGTATTTCACCAGAACCTGCTCTCTGGTAAAGAATTTATTTTTCTGGCATCGCAAATATGCAAGTATCTTTATAGTGTATAGTTTTCTTAAAATGTATAATATTTTTTCCCATGTATAGTATGTAGTTTTTTCCCTAAATAAGCAAATATCCTTATATTAGGAAATTTCACTCTTCAGGTTATAGAAAAATTTTAAATTTTGGCCAAGAAACACCACTTTATTTGATTTGATTTTCTTTTAAAAGTTATTGTCACATCAGTTTTTTGGAAGGGAAAACAAAGGAAGATTCTTGTAAACTTAGAAGCCAAGTCAATATCTTTTTGTTGTTGTTGTTATTCTAATCTGTTATACATAATACTAGAATGCAGAATGCATTTTGACACATCATACATAAATGGAATATAAATTTTCATTGTTCTAGTACATAATGTAAAGTTACATAGGTCATGTAATCATATATGCATGTAGGGTAATAATGTCCAATCCATTCTACTATCATTTCTACCCCCATTCCTCCTCCCCTTCCTTCACTCCTATCTAATCCAAAGTGCCACTATTCTTCCCTGCCCCCTCCCTTATTCTGAATTAGTGTCCACATATCAGAGAAAACATTCAGCATCTGGTTCTTTGGCATTGGCTTATATCACTTAGCATGATATTCTCCAGTTCCATCCATATACTGGCAAATGCCATAATTTCATTTCTCTTTATGGCTGAGTAATATTCCATTATGTATACATTCCACAATTTCCGTTCATCTGTTGAAGGGCATCTGGGTTGGTTCTATAGTTTAGCTATTGTGAATTGAGCTGCTATAAACATTGATGTGTCTGTGTCACTGTGGTGTGCTCATTTTAAGTCCTTTTGATATAAACAGAGAAGTGGAATAACTGGGTCAAATGGTGGTTCTAATCCAAGTTTTCTGGGGAATTTCCATGCTGCTTTTCAGAGTGGTTGCACCAATTAGCAGTCCCACATCCTCACCAACATTATTAATTGCCATTCTGACTGAAATGAGATGAGATCTCAGTGTACTCTTCATTTGCATTTCTCTAATTGCTAGGGATGTTAAATATTATTTCATATATTTGTTGACCAATTGAATTTCTTCTTCTGTGAAGTGTCTRTTGAGTTCCTTTTCCATTTATTGATTGGGTTATTTGTTGTCGTTTTTTTT